GAATCTGTATCTGAGTTGTCAAGTTCATTTCTCAGGACTTCTATTTTGTCTAAGAAAAAGTTTGTAAAATTACCAGGTAACAGTTGAGTCGGAGGGGAGAATTTGCGATGAGAATGTCGGTGTACTCATTGTAATATTGATAATTTGAAACAGACATTTTGAGTCGCAGTTTTTCAATTGGCTCCTATGATAGTTTGATTTTGTAGCAGATATCAGTTGGTATAGCAACGACACTGCTCTTTGAAAATCTGCCTATGAACCTCCAACTTCGATGATTTCCAGTGTCGCTCATGACGATGCAGCTCACGCTTGGCCAAATGAATGTCATTGCTAAACCAGGGCACATGAGGATATGCTCTGATTTGACGTTTTTGTAGGGGTGCGTGTTTATATATGCAAATCTCTGAATGTTTGCCCGTACTGAGTAACCAATGTGACGAGATCCGTGGAAGAGGATGTGCACATTAAAGAATTCAAGATGTCCTGACGGAATGTATCTAAGTCAATGTCACAGAGTTTGCGCGTCTGGACGTCCACCTTGGCTGCAGCAGAGCGACCTATGCCTAACTTACAGATGACACAAGCGTGATCAGATGGCATATAATCTCTCATGGTCAGATGGGAGATAAAGCTGTCAAAAGACCTTGTTAAAAGAAGATTTAATATGTGACTGTCACGATGTGTTGGACCAGACAGGTGCTGTTTCAGACCTGTAGATTCAAGGAGGTCACAAAATGTAGACACCTCTCTATCAGATTGATTGTCAATATGAAAGTTGAAATCTCCTACTATCATTATATGATTGGCATCATAAACAATATGTTCCAGCAATATAGAAAATTCTTGCATAAAAAGTGTAGCTTTTCGATAAACTGACCAGCCTAGATTTGGGAAAGAGAAATTTAATAATGCCACTTACCAAGAAAATGTGAGCAGGGCCTGTTTTTTATGATATAGTGGGAAATGGCCGGAATAATAACCCTTCATATTTATTCTTCACCACAGTTAAATTCATCACAAATAAAAGAACACTTGTTTTAATTTAAATGAATATATTA